AACCAATGCACTACTGGTACTGTATAGCAGAGGCCCGCAACCTCTCAATAGGTAGAATCCACAAGTTCAACAGGTAGGTTGCAAAGTGTAATTTATTTAGACAGTGAACACAACAAACATTGTCTAAATGTCAATGAATATCTTTTTCAAGATATCGTTATATGCATCCTTAGTTTTCTTTACCACCTCCACTTGGAGGCTATTCCAAGTATGTACTACCCTTTCTTTAACCCTGTTAGATTTTACTGCTTCCACAGGAAGGCTATTCCAAGTGATATTTCAGTCTTAATCTTGCCGTATCTGATTTCAAACCATTCTCTTTTATTCTATTCCTACTCTTTTTTTAATTGAAAAACTAGTGTATTAATCTGTGGTATTATAGTGTTTATCAAGATCCAAGATTACTAATTGTAATGTACATTTTTTGACAGAACACCCCTCTCCTGATTGCCACCCCGAGGCCGTGGCGGCCATGTGGAAAATCTGGCCGTGGTGCCATGCAGGGGAGTTGGAAAGGGTTGGGATTGCATCTGGGCTGAGCTGGTCAAAATTAGGCAGATTTTTGTAATGTACATTTTTTGACAGAACACCCCTCTCCTGATTGCCACCCCGAGGCCGTGGCGGCCTTGTGGAAAATCTGGCCGTGGTGCCATGCACTTGGTAGCATTGTATAAAAATAGAGAGACATCATGTTTGTGTGATATTGGAGGGTTGTGCATTCTTGGAGAAGTATCCCAAAGCTGTGCTTGTAATATCAAGAAAGGCCAGTGAAAAGGAGGGACTGTGGGTGAGGGTAACATACGTGTCACACACAGGAAGTTGCAGTGATGGCCGCCCTGTTGCTGGAGAAGAGATGATTATTGATCCAACATCTCCTAAAGCAATTAAATAAATCATTTACCACTATGATAAATAATGTATTCAATGTATAAAGAGATGTTAGAAGTTAAATTGAAATTGTCATGGCAGGTTCACTTTAAGCATAAGGGCTGCGTGCATCGTACCCACCTGTTACAATGAGGGAAGGTTATATATTTTTCTAAGTGGGATTTAAATATGTGAAATGAGGTTTGAATATGAAGTAAAGCTCTATATTGTAAATGCTGCAAAGGAGCAGATTGTGTGCATGTAGGAGGATGCGTACATATCGTAATTACAGACTGAATGAGGTTGAGTCATCCTGATGGCTTTAATGGGGAGGTGAGAGGTTTAATGAAATTAGGGTGTAGGAGAAAAGTATATGGATTTTACAAGAGACATATACAGAGGATGGTCCTGAAAGGGTTGGTGTGGGAGAGAAAAAGAAATAGAGAGATGGATAAATGTAGAAATAAATATGAGAAAGAGAAAGAGGGAGAGTCAGAGAGACAGATTGGTACGCATTGAGGAGAGAGAGAGTGAGAAAAGGGAGCGAAAAGGAGAGAAAAAACAGATAAAAATAAGGAAAGAAAATATAAAGAGGAGATTGGAGAATCTGAGAATAAAAGAGAGGTTTATCTATTCAATAAACAAGAAATGGAGATGGATTGACAAGGAAGTCAGAAATTCTATGCAAAAATAGCCAAATTGAAAATATTCTCCAGTTATACATTTTTCAAGGCAATTTTGGCTCAAAAGTTGCAATTCCATTGTTAATCAGGCTCAGACTGACCATACATTAGTCACTGGCTGGGGACCAGGAGAGCTCCCTATATGGCTCGGCAAAAGTATACGCACATAAATTATAGGGAGCTAGATTATGCACTGTGAAACCATACTTTACTCTGTTGCCATCACAGAAATGCTGTGGGGACCATGTAACTTTCTGCAAAAGCCTTTGCTCATTCCCTTCCAGCATATGATACTGCTAAAGTGTATTCCCACAGTATCCGAAGTAAATTAATAAAGCCCCGTGCCTTTATTATTGGGGAGAGGACCCATTAGATCACCAGGGAAAGGTGGGAGTTGGAAAGGGTTGGGATTGCATCTGGGCTGAGCTGGTCAAAATTAGGCAGATTTTTGCTCCCAGTCCATAGTTATTGTCATTTATAGTCATAGTGAGTAACACCAATGAAAGTGAGATGTGCACAGAAAAGATAGAGAGATACACTTTAACCCCTTAAGGACCAAACTTATGGAATAAAGGGGAATCATGACATGTCACACATGTCATGTGTCCTTAAGGGGTTAAAGGGACATTATAGTCACCAAAGCAACTCTACCTTGATAAAGGAGTTTTAGTGTATAGATGATGCCATTGAAGTCTTACTGCTCAATTCTCTGCCATTTAGGAGTTAAATCACTTTTGTTTCTGTTTATGCAGCCCTAGCCACACCTCCTCTGGTTGTGACTGAGACAGCCTGCATGAAAACAAAATGGTTTAATTTTCAATCAGATGTTACTTACTTTAAAAAGTCTTTATCTCCTGCTCTGTAAATTGAACTTTAATTACATAAAGGAGGCTCCTGTAGCATCTATCAAGCCATTAACAGAGCAGGAGATTCAAAATGCTAAATTAAACATCATTTTCAAAAAAGAAAGGTTAAACATTACATCTCTCTTTTCAGGAAGTGTTTAGGAAGGCAGTGAAAGTCACATGCAGGGAGGTGGGCCTAGGGCTGCATAAACAAAGTGATTTAACTGCTAAAATGCTGAGACTTGAGCAGTAAGACTGCAGGGACATGATCTATACATCAAAACTGCATCATTAAGCTAAAGTCATTTTAGTGACTATAGTGTCCCTTTAAGAAAAAAAAATACTGAATTCTCACGTCCAACTATAACAATTCTCATGTCCTGTGTGATGCAGGGGATTGTTCTGGCAGATTTAATAATAGTTAAACTGCACATTGGAATGGAATACAGGAGATTTCAGTCCACATGCCAGCGTTCTAGCAGTGCTCAGTGTATGAGCCGCCCTGCCAACAGTGCGCATGCACATCAATATAAGATGCCCCCTTTAAGGAAGGGCACATCATTATTGATGCCAACTGATACCCTGTATTTAACATTACAGGTTATTACTCGTTACTGTACGGTCAATGATATTTAAATTGCCAGAAGTTGAGCTACTCAAATTCTGTTGGCACTGAAGTAGTTATGATCTTTGTTTTGGATATTGCAAATTGTTTTAATCTTGCTAGTTAAGATGGTATTAGTCAATCAACAAAACATCTTTTGTAGTTATTGCTAGTTCTGAATAGGTCAATTCTGGAGATTAGTTTTAAGTGCTTGCACCATTCTTAAAAATCACAACAGAAGTGCGTCAGGGTATTTTTTATCTGTCAGTAGAGAACAATAATAACATTATTATACTCACAAATAAAGCCCTGAATGAATTGAGATTTGTAAAAAAAAAAAAAAAAAAACATGCTAGGAATGAGCATTGCAATCTCATGTGTTTCTGCAATTTTTCTAAAATTGCACATTTGACAAACCATAAAATAATCTCTTTCCTTTCAATTGTCATACATTGTTTAATGTGAATATACTGACCCTCATCTCACACCCTTTACAGCAGTTAAACCCAGCAGAACCTGAAAGGGTTAAAAAAGGGAGTACCCAAATAGGGCTGCTTACAGCATATTTTTTAATGAAAGCTATGAACACCAACAATAAGGGGGTTTATTCACTAAACACAGAAATGTAACCAAATTGCAAAACTTAAAATATCCACGCTGTGACTACAACTAAGCTGGTGAATTGGGTTACACTTAGCAGTTTTTCATTTTATTACAATTGAGTGAATAATCCACATTGGGCCTGCCTAATGCATACCATGCGATGCCAGGTAATATGATGAACACAGAACATTACCTGGCACACAGATACTTAAAAACTCGATTTAACACTAAACTTCTTCTACAGGTTGCAGTTTGGGTGCCTCGGTTCCTAAAGGGGCGATATAACCACTGCAGCTTGCTCTCAAAAATACTGGTTTGGATTTAATTATTACAAAAAACATTAGTGATATTTATGCAAAATACTAGTTGAATATTTAAAAAAAAACTGGGAGCCCGTTCAAATTGTGACATATGTTTAATTTACAGCGGACACATTTTTCTATATTTGCAGTATACATTGGAAGGACAAAAAGACCACAATGGAGTTTTAGGTAAAATACATAAACAGTGTCCTATAAGTTGGTCTCTTTATTAGTGCAATGCTTACTAAGCTTAATTAAAGAACAACAACAACAACTAAAGACCTCATAGGTTCCACTATATGACATAATTTATTTAGGAAGGGTCCAACACACAAGTTAATTAATTGAGAATTATCTGGCAAACCCCATTAAAAACTTGTAAAGCACAGATAATTGACATTGTGCAATGTTCCTGGTTTATTAAACCCTGTAAGCACAAAAGGATTCGGGACTACATAACTCACCCTCTTGGCCACAAAAAGTCTTAAAGGGAAACCCACATACTGTTAAATGAAATGTCACAGACACGTGTTCAGCGTTACTCCAATATAATATTTAATGGCTGCAGTAATGATCATTTTTGTTTTAAAAATGGTCATCTTCACCTTCATTTCAGGCCAAAAGTTTCATCTCTTCGCCAACCTCTAAGATGGTCGTGTTTGCCTCATGCAGCAATGAGAGTCTCTTTATCCCAGAAAAGTCTCTTTACATTAATGAACATTTTCCTTTCAGCTTGTCTTTCTTCCTCTGCTGTTTGGATTTCTTTCCATCTACCTGCAGACTAACAGTTCTCCTCTTTTCCAAGTTTAAGAGTTCTTGGAAGAGTTCTTGGACATTATAGTTGAGCTTTGCAGACGTTTCCATAAACGAACATTTCCACTTGTTGGCTAGACTTTCTCCCTCACTAGCCTGGACTTCCCTGAGAGTTTCGTCACTCTTGTTACCCACCAACATGATAGGAATATTGTGTGTGTCACCTTTGATCTGGCAGATCTGTTCATATATTGGTTGAAGTTCTTCCATGGACTGCTTACTAGTGACAGAGTAGACTAGGATAAAAGCATGACCTTTCGAGATGGACAACCTCTGCATAGCGGGGAACTGGTGACTTCCTGTTGTGTCTGTAATTTGTAGAGTGCAGATGTTCTTGTCGCAGCTGATGACCTGCCTGTAAGTATCTTCAATAGTAGGGATATAGGTTGCCCTAAACGTTCCCCTCACAAAACGAAGAACCAAGGAACTTTTCCCAACTCCGGCAGCTCCGAAAACCACCACCCTGTAATCATTACTTTGCTCGGGCATGTTGCTTCCAAGTTGAACCTCTCCAAAGGTCTTCTGGGCTTCTGATCGTGTGAAAGAGATTCACAAGATCAACATTCCGCTTCAAGATATACAGAGGACTATGGAAAAAAAAAAAAAAAAACATGAGATACCTTAAATCTGAAATCAAACAACTCACAAACAAAATATATTACTCTGCTCTACGTGGACCAGGTAGATTTTGAAAACTAATGGAAAGAACTAAGAGGAGATAGAAAAAATATCTAAGCTGTTACATGAACACAGTTACAAGCAGTCTTTAGTGACACAGTTGCATCTTGGCATCCCTAATGCATTCAGTACTCTGGAAAGTAGGTGGATGTCCGCACGCCTGGATAGAAATAGTCCATTAATCTAGATAGTAGCATCCTTGGTCCATAGCTCCACCTGTCAAGCAGTAATGTACTACCATAGGGTAATGCTTCTGACTGAATGAAGGATACAGTTCATGTTACCTGATGAACATTACCTTGCTAGTCTCTTGACCCTGCTGTCTGGAGAAAGCTGGAAATGTAGATTTCGCACAAACAGAGCAGCAAATTGTTCCCTCCCCACACTCTTTGTTTCTCTTTTTTTTTTTCTCATTCTAGTATGAATGATGGCTGGAAGATCAGTTTGTGCCACCTAGTGGATGTGCTGGAATTCTTCGGTGTGCTCGCATTTTCTCACTCTGAACGAAAAATACTGCTTTGCAATATTTCAGACAACTTTTTGGTAATGACATTTCACCTTGATATTGTGTAGCATTTATTGACATATTGCACTCTGAAAAGTCATAATGAACATAATAAGCCCTTTGATTTAAAGTATATTTTAGGTTTAAAGACACTTCATTAAAAAACAAAAACAAAAAAAAAACTCAATGTTTTGTAGATTTGCCAGAACCATTGCTAGCTTCCAGGAAAAACCTGGGTTTGCAGCCCAAAACTTGATAACCCCAAGTTTGAATGCTCCACTATAGGAGCCATATCCCCATCTGTGTAAGCAAACCTTGCCAATATGCAAGCTGGTATGTCAATGAAAAAAAGAACATGATTCATTATTATCATTATTATTTATAAAGCGACAACAAATTCCGCAGTGCTGTACAATAGGTGGACTAACAGATATATATTTGTAACATGACGAGTTGGATGCACAGGAACAGAGGATGCTGAGGGACCTGCTCAATGGAGATTACGTTCAAGAGGGAGTGGGATAAAGTGGTACAAGGAATAAGGGTAGGATGTATTTCATATATAAGAAAAAGTAGGTTACAAGAATAGTTTACAATAAATGTTTAGTTTTTTAAATGATGCAGTTGCAGAAGAGGAAGCAAGGTGGGTTAGCTATTAACAGTTTAATTTGTATGCTTTCTTAAAAACTGTTTTTTAATTATCTTTTGAAGGAACTGAGACTGGGTAAGTGTCTAAAGCAGCATGGAGGGGAGTTCCATAGTAACGGCGCAGCCCTGGAGAAGTCTTGAAGGTGGGTTATGGAGCTGCGAGTCCATACAGATCTTTGACAGAGCTTACAGGCCTGGACGGGACATACTTGTGTATTTAGGAGGATAGGTAGGAACAATGTTACGTAGAGATTTTTAAAGCAAGCATCAGAAATTTAAACTTAGTCCAAAATCTTACAGGAAGCCAGTGTTAGGACTGACAGAGGGAGGACGAGTGGGAGGTGAGGGCAGACATGAAGATTCATTATAGACTGTAATGGGGCAAGCTGGGAATATGTAAGACCACTGATAGGCGGATTGCGGTAGTTAAGGCGAGAGATGATAGTGGCATGGACCAGCACCATAGCCGTATCCGGTTTTAGATCGGGGCAGATGTGCTCTATGTATGTGATAGCAGTTCCAGGATTTGGCAAGTGACTGGACATGAGGGTTGAAGGAGAGATTGGAGTCAAAGAGAACACCAAGGCAGCTAACCTGCGAGGTAGAGCTGATGGTAGCACCATTGACTTGGATGGAGACAGGCACAGGAGTAGTAACACTTGAGGGACAAAAGACAGGTTAAGTTTAAGGGAGAGAGCAGCCTTCCAGTTAGAAATAGCAGAGAGGCAGTCAGAGTCTCAAGGCAAGAGATCAGCACAGGACAGATAGATTTGTGTGTCATCCACATAAAAGTGATATTGGAAATGAAAAGAGCCGTATATACTCGAGTATAAGTTGAGTTTTTCAGCACATTTTTTGTGCTGAAAACCCCCCACTCGACTTATACTCCAGTTAATGTCTGTATTATGGCAATTTACATTGCCACAATACAGACCAGGACCGCCGGGCTCATTACAAGCCCGGCGGTCCTGTTGGGTGCTGACAGTGAGCGGTTACTTACCTTCCTGCAGCTCCTGTCAGCTCCCTCCTCCTCCGTGCAGCTCCTCTGTCAGCTCCCACTGTAAGTCTCGCGAGAGCCGCGGGGTCACCGCGGCTCTCGCGAGACTTACAGTGGGAGCTGACAGAGGAGCTGCACGGAGGAGAAGAGAGCTGACAGGAGCTGCAGGAAGGTAAGTAACCTCTCACTGTCAGCCCCCCCTCCTACACCGCCCATACACTGGACCACCAGGGAGTGAGAGCCCCCCTCCCTGGCAAGCTAACAAGCAGGGAGGGGGGACGAAAATTAAATTAAATGTGTGTGTTTGTATGAGTGTGTGTGTAGAATGCAGATTGTTTGTATGAGTGTGTGTGTGTATAATGCAGAGTGTGTGTTTGTATGAGTGTGTGTGTGTGTATAATGCAGAGTGTGTGTTTGTATGAGTGTGTGTGTAGAATGCAGAGTGTGTGTTTGTATGAGTGTGTGTGCGTATATAATGCAGAGTGTGTGTTTGTATGAGTGTGTGTGTGTGTATAATGCAGAGTGTGTGTTTGTATGAGTGTGTGTGCGTATATAATGCAGAGTGTGTGTTTGTATGAGTGTGTGTGCGC